GCTCCGAGCCCCCCGGCCCGCCGAAGCCCCTCCTCCTTCCGTGACACCGCCTCCCGTCTCTAGGTAACGTGAGGTGGGGGCGGGGGTCAAACAACGCGGCAGCTAGTTGGCCGCTGTTGGCAGGCTCCTCTTTTCGGAGCCTTGACCCTCGGACGCTCAGGGCCATGGCCCTGCCGCTGCTGCCCGGCAACCGCTTCAGCCGGAATGTGAGTAGTGAGGGCGCCCTAGGTCAGAGGTGCTGGCCGGAGTCTGGGGTCCCGGCGTAGCCACCTCCCCGGGCCCCTACTGGAGACCTGCTGCTACTTCGCCTTCCGTGGCTTGGGCTTAACTTGGACCAAACTTTGTAGGCTGACGGAACCCTTATTCTCTACCTCCCCTTCCCCCTCTCTCCAGCGGCGTCTGATGCTTTCCCTCCATTAGATGCATGAATAGAGTCCTTACAGGTGGCAGGACCCTGAAAGGTAGCCGATGGTAGTATTGATGCTAATAGTCATCTTTGAGAGTTTAAGGTGTGCCACCTGTGCTTTAATCACCTTAAACCGCATCAGATGCTCCCTGCCGCCCTTTGTATTAGGTATTGTTTTGATTCCCATTTTACAGTTGTGGAAACTGAGGCACAGAGCAATGAGTCACTCACTGACTGGAGCTAACACAATGTCAGTGGTAGGTTTGTCCCAGGCAGCCGGTCTTCACAGCCCAGAAGCCTAATCACTCCTAAATACCTGGCCTGAAAGACTTTCTGTTATTAAAGTGAAGAAACCTGGCTCTTTCAAGGCTTGTAGGGGGCAGATAAGTAAGGGTTCCACCTGCCTATAAAGTTTGATCCTAACTTTATGGAGAAAGGGACCCAAACTTGGAGGAGTTTTTTCTTCATTTAGAATTTGGGAGTGGTTCATTTCAAAACAAGATGAAGGTATAAAACAGCACAACAACATTCAGAATTCTTGAGCATGAAAGAACTTTTGCCAATAAGTAGCATCTTATTTAAACCACAGCAGACGGATGATTCAGGCTTTTGTTTGCACTGGCCTCTATTGGATTTTCCAGTTGTGTCTGTAGGAAGAAGGTAATTAATACACTGATGGGAAGGAACTAGATGCAACCACTCAAAGTATTTGTGTAAACCTGTGATAAATTTAGAAACAGGCAGCAAACTGAAACATCTCACTTTATGGATTCTGTCTGTATCCAAGTTGTTGGCCCTGAAGTATCAGTTTTCTTTGTAGCTTCAGGTACTGCATTCTGACCATCACAGGCTGGCTGACCACTCCAATTTGCTTCTTGAACACTGGTTTGTGCATTTCTTGGCTGATGAGTAGAGGTTGGCCTTCCAGCCTAGCGCTGCCCTTTGGTAAGATTAAGGCAGCCACACAAATAAGTAAGAAAGACCCCCGCCCCAAAAAAGGCAAGGAATACAAAATATTCCAGAAGTAAAGAAGCATGCTGTGTAAAAGTAATTGTAATAAAAATTGTACGTAGAGCCCACAGCTTTGGGCCCAGCAACACTTCAGATTACCGATGCCCACCTCCTATAGAAATACCACAGCTCTCACACGCAGTGATGAAGAGTGGGAAGGAAAAAACAGTGGTTGGATGAGATATTTTAAAATCTGCAAGGCTGTACTGAGTGTACTTTTGCTTTTTTTAGAAAAAAATTTTATTGTGAAGTATAACACATGTATAGAAAAATGCACAGTGGATGATCACAGAATGAACATTAAAAAAAATATTACCAAAGCATCGACCTTGACTATGGTTCCAGGATTTAGCAAGTGAAAATACATGTCCCAGATATTGCATGAGACCTACTTATATTAAAAGATTCTTTTGTTGTTTCTCTGAAATTCAGATCTAACTGAGCATCTTGTATTTTACCTGGCGATCCTACTTATGACTCTTTCTGGTCATTATCCCTTCCTTACTCTCCAAAGGCAACCACTATTGTTAGGTTTTGCTTGCTTTTGAACTTTGTATTGATGGAAATGGCTGCTGTTTATTCTTTTGTGACTTTTTTTTTTTAGCTCAACATTATGTTTGTGAGATTTGTTTGTGTGGCTGTCTGCAGAGAAAGTTTGTCCATTTTCATTGCTCTATAGTATTCCACTGTACGAGTATGACACTATTTATATACACATTTTACTCTTGACAGCGATTTTGTTTGGGGTTATTAAGAGTAGTTCACTGTGACTATTCTTGTTCATGCCTCTCAGTACAATTGTCAGATGCAATGGCATTTTTAAAAATAAAGTTCTTCTTTAACATACTAAAAATTTTTTAAATTTTTCAAATAGTATTTTTATATTCAGCATTGGTAGATGCTGTCACAGGGCTTATGCCCATTTAAGTTCCCACCAGCATTTTATGTTCCTGTTGCTCCGTATTCTAACACTTGATATTGTTAGTCCTTTAAATTTTAATTATTTTGATCAGTGGATGTAGTGAGAATCTTTATTTTTAATCTGCAATTGCCTGATTCCTAATGAAATTGAGCACATTTCACACATTGATTTGTCATTTGGATATTCTCTTTTGCGTCATGTCTATTTGTCTTTTGTCTAATTTCTATTGGGTTGCCTGCCTTTTTCTTCATGATTTGTAGGAGTTTGATATAGATTTTGAATACAACTCCTTTGTCACATGTTTTCTTGTAAATATCTTTTAGTCTGTGGTTGGCGTTTTTACTCTCTTAATGGTGTTTTTGAAGAATTTTTTCTCTAGATGAGTGCTTTTTGCTTCCTCTTTAAGAAATAGTTCCGTACACCAAGTTCATGACAGTATTTTCCTGTGTTATCTTCTGGAAGTTTTGTTGAAATTTTGTTATTTTTACCTTTCACATTTAGATCTATAAGTAGAATGCATTTTTTTTTTACTTTTTTGACTTTCCACGTTTTACTTTATTTTTGTGTATACATGTATTTTTAAATTGAAGTATAGTCAGTTTACAATGTGTCAATTTCTGGTGTACAGTATAATACTTCAGTTATACATGTACATAGATTTGTTTTCATATTCTTTTTCACCATAAATTACTACAAGATATTGAATATAGTTCCCTGTGAGTAGAATGCATTTGTGTGTGTGTGTGTGTGTGTATGTGTATGTGCGTGCATATATGAAAAGAGGTAGGAGTCAGGTTGTATTTTTTCCCATATGGATATTCAGTTAACCCAGAACCATTTGTTAAAGAACAAAATTCTGAATAAATTTGAAAGAGCTTATTAGCTTTATTCAGTGATTCAGGAATCAGGCTGCATCCATTCTAGCAGATAGAAAGGAGCTCTGAAGAGCTATACAAGGCAAGAGATTTTATAGGAAAGTTGTACTAGGCAAAAATCAGGTTGGTTATTTTAAGGTTACTTTCCTTACAGGGGATGTAGGGGTTTATCAAGCAGATTACCTAACTAAATGCAAATCAGGAGTTTATAGTTGACTGGTTTAAGATTCTATTTCTAGGAGAGCTGAAAATGTAACTAAGTTTCAGTTTGGTGACCTGAGGCTTAGCATAAGCAACTCTATTTGGGTCCTGTTGTCTTTAACACAGTTTTGGAAATGGCCATCCTTTCTCCACTTCTCTGCAGAGTTACCTTTGTCATAATTCAAACATCCAAAATATATGTGGGTCTGCTTCCAGACTCAAATGTATTTGTAAGATTATTCACTTACTTTATGCCTCAGACCAATAGGGGGGAGAGAGAGAGAGGAGAGAGAGAGAGAGAGTGTGTGTGTGTGTGTGTGTGTGAGTGTGAACGAGGGAATGACAGTATACTTATTAGATACCTTGGGCTGACATTCAACAAATCAGTATTTATATATTGAGTATCCTAGTATGTGTCCAAATCAGGTGGCTACATGAAAAAAATTTTTTACACTAGCTTGGTACTAAATCTGCTACGCGTTGCCAAAAATTAGCATTGTTTGAAAAACTTGCACTTAGTTAAAATATTGGATGCTCTCTGGCACAGAATGGTCAGAGTCAGTAAAGCCAAATCTGGCCTTTGTATCCCCACTTCCCTTCGGCCTATTTGCTTGCTGAATTAAATTATCAAGCGAGAAACCTTGGCCTCCTGGAGATAGCTTAATTACTGGCTGTTGGGGCTGAAAATTATAACATGAGCTAACAAACTTTTATTGCTTTTTCTTAGAAATTAAAAACAAACTTGCTTCTCCTCTTAATTAGCTTCTGGGAGTCAGTCATGAGCAATAGATTGTTTTTTGTCCACAGCTAGGTGAGGTGCAAACTCTACTTAGGTCTCTGAGATGCAAGAAGTGTTGTACTTTCTAAAATATAAGCATTTGTACCACTGATGACATTAAAATTATTTTGATGTGAATTAATTGAAAACCTTCAGGAAAGATCATAACTAAATTCCAGACACACAGTATCTTTTTCCAACGATTTACAGGCTGGATTTTATTGAGCTAAGAGAATCTCAGGCATATTGTCAAAAATGATAGGATATTAAAGTTAAATGGGACATTTCCAGCTAAAGCTGAAAATCCTTTCTGCAGCATTTTAGACAGATGGTTGTGTAGCTGATCCTGAATGCCTCTAATGAATAATGAGGAACACACTTTCTGTTTTTTATGGCGCTACCTTGCCACCATCTTAGGAGGGTTTGTTGTAAACAGCCCATCATCTAATTTATAGTGAAGCGACTGTTTCCTTAAGAAGATAAAGAAATTATTTGAATTCACAATGGTAGAATAAAATGAAAATGTAAAATCTGTCTCACAGAAATACCTTGGACTTTATTTTTTATCTAGACTAATATAAGTTTGCATATTAATATAGGAGAAATCGTTCTTTGGGAAATTTACCAGCAATTTAAATGATAAACAACTGAAAGAGAAAAACACTATGAGGAATACATAGTACACATCTTGACTTCATTATGTGATGTTAGATAAGTCAGTTTAAATCTGGCTCAATGACAAATATAATTATAAAACAATGATTTTATTCACAAGGTAGAGGGTTTCCCAACCTAAAATTCTGCCTATAGATTCCTGGCTGTGTTCTTGGTGGTCAATTACATGGCCTTAAAATAATTTGCACTGGGTCCAAACCCTTAACCTGACACCTGAGGCCAATGGAGTTTGCCATTCATTTTGTGAGATCAATTTAATGAATCACGACCAGCATTTAGAAAACAAACAAACAAACAAACAAACAAAACCGAGTGGAATAAAATGGAAAAAATCAGCG